ACTATTGAACTTATTTGTACTCTTCTTGTATTTTACATATCTTTTTATTATTCCTGTGGGATTTTGTCTTCACAAAATTTGCTTATTTAATACTTTGAGTATGCTTTCACGGAATCATTTTCATGACTGATAATTTTAAGAAAGAAAACACTGTTAGTTGGTTTGGCTTTAGCTCACGAGGTAGGGGAACTCATGTATCAGTGGGACGTGTGGTGTTGGATCAATAGCATCTCCGGTCTGAGTGAAAATTACCTTTGGACAAGATATTGAACCCTGAGCTTCTCCCGATGCGTTCATTGGAGTGTGACTGTTAGAAATGTCTTAGCGCAAGAAAAAATGAATAAATGTGTGAATGAAACATGCTGGACAAGGCGTTTGAGTCTTAAAGCAGGTGTTTTTTAAGCGTTTTGTAGAAACCAGTATATTTACCATTCACACTACATTTGATCTAATTTATATTGAAGTGAGGAATCAACACCGTTGAAGAAAACTTTTGTTTTTTGTTTGTGGGTTGTTGTTTTTTTTTAATTTAATTTACGTTTCCCGTGATAAACATCTGTGATTGCAAGTCTTCTATTAAGGATTGCCTGACGGTAGTGTTCTGCAGTTTTGTTTTTTGAACTCTTAGGGCCGCTGTTGACCAGAGTGTTGATGGCTGACAGTAGGGTTGCAACAGCAGCGTATCTCACATAAACGACGACATAACGAGCACGGGGTACGACGAGAAAGAGCGGATATTCTAGATGCGCAGAATATCTGATGACAAAGACGACATTTATTTTTTTTTTTAATTTTCCGTTGTTCTGGGAGGAATATAACGCTAAAAGATTGTTGTGTCTACCAGGAATTGATTTCACTTAATGGAATATATTTTCGCGTTGTGGAGCCTCGTTGATAGAATACTAGGATAGAACAATGAAAGGGCCTGCGCTGTTGTTTTTTGCTCTCCTTTCCTTTGGCTCGGTAACTGGACAAGTCAGCTATACAATACCGGAGGAAATGACTAAAGGATCGTTAGTCGGTAATATAGCACAGGATTTGGGTTTACAAATCAAACGTTTAATATCAGGTAAAGCTCGAATTTATACCCGAGACAGCGACCAGTACGTCGAGCTGAACAGAGAAAGAGGAGTCCTCCTCGTTAAAGAAAGGATCGACAGAGAGGCGCTGTGCAGACGGACGACACCGTGTGCTCTACATTTTCAGATCATTTTGGAGAATCCGATGGAATTTTATACAGTTACAGTGCAGATCACCGATATCAATGACAATGCACCAACCTTTGAGAAAACAGAGATGGAGTTTAAAATTAGTGAGTCTGCGGTAACTGGGGCAAAATTTGTTCTGGAAAGGGCTGTGGATCTTGATGTTGGCACCAATGATCTTCAAAGGTACGAAATAAAACCAACTGACAATTTTGTTCTGAAAATGCATAATAATGCTGATGGAAATAAAAACGTTGAGATGGTACTGCAGAAACCTTTGGACAGAGAGAAGCAAGAGCAGATATCCCTCGTGTTAACTGCTGTAGATGGAGGAGAGCCACAGATGTCAGGAACAATGCAGATTCTCATTACAATTTTAGACGTTAATGATAATGCGCCGGTTTTTACACAGCAAACATACAAAGCTACAGTCACTGAGAATTCACCTAAAGGAACAGTTGTTGCTACTGTTACAGCGTCAGACGCAGATCAAGGTTCGAATAGTAAAGTAACGTATTCAATCACAAATACTTTAGATAATATCAGGGATGTCTTTAAGATAAACCAAGAGAATGGCGAAGTGACTTTAATTGGGAATATTGACTTTGAGGAGTCACGAAATTTTCAAATAAATTTACTTGCTAGTGATGATGGAGGACTAACAGACTCCTCTAGGGTTATTGTTGATGTGTTCGATGTCAATGACAACAAACCTGAAATTAGCATAATGACGAAGGCGACCGTGATTTCAGAGGATGCTAAACTCAATACAGTCGTTATGATGATAAATATCGAAGATAAGGACTCGGGAAAAAACGGAAAAGTTTATTGTTCAGTAAGCGAAAACATACCATTCATGCTAAAAAAATCTACAAATAATTTCTATAATTTAATAACAGACAGTGATTTAGACAGAGAGATATCCTCTAATTTTAACATCACTGTGACCTGCTCTGATGAGGGAGTGCCCTCCCTCTCCACCAGTGTCACTCTAACCTTACAAATCTCAGACGTTAATGATAACGCACCTGTCTTTGAGAGGAGCTCATATGAGGCCTATATTGTAGAAAACAATACACCGGGTCTCTCTATATTCACAGTCAAAGCCACAGACGCTGACTGGAACCAGAATGCCCGTGTTTCTTACATACTGGAGGACTCCTCCGTTAACGGAGTGCCAGTCTCTTCATATGTGTCTGTTAGTACTGATAGTGGAGTCATCCATGCAGTGCGCTCTTTTGACTACGAGCAGATCAAAGATTTCCACTTCCGCGTAAAAGCGCAGGATGGAGGATCTCCTCCACTCAGCAGCAACGTGACTGTGAAAATGATGATCCAAGACCAGAACGACAACCCCCCTCAGGTTCTGTACCCAGTCCAGACTGGTGGCTCTCTGGTGGCTGAAATGGTGCCTCGTTCAGCAGATGTGGGCTATCTGGTGACTAAGGTGGTGGCTGTTGATGTGGACTCTGGACAGAATGCCTGGCTCTCCTATAAACTGCAGAAAGCCACAGACAGGGCGCTGTTTGAAGTGGGCTTACAGAATGGAGAAATCAGAACTATCCGCCAAGTCACTGATAAAGATGCTGTCAAGCAAAGACTGACTGTTATAGTGGAGGACAACGGGCAGCCCTCTCGTTCTGCTACAGTCGTTGTTAACGTGGCGGTGGCGGACAGCTTCCCTGAAGTGCTGTCGGAGTTCACTGAGTTGACCCACGACAAGGAGTACAATGACAACCTGACTTTTTACTTAGTCTTGGCTCTGGCTGTAGTTTCCTTCCTCTTCATCACGTGTTTAGTGGTTATTATATCAGTCAAAATCTACAGGTGGAGACAGTCTCGCATCCTGTATCACTCCAACCTGCCTGTCATTCCATATTATCCACCACGTTACTCAGACACTTTGGGGACAGGGACTCTGCCACATGTGTACAATTACGAGGTGTGCAGGACGACTGACTCCAGAAAGAGTGACTGTAAGTTCGGCAGAGCTGGTAGTCAGAACGTGCTGATAATGGACCCCAGTTCTACAGGAACGATGCAGCGGATACAGAGTGAAAAGAGCATCCTGGATGAACCAGACTCTCCTCTAGAGGTCAGTTATAAATCTGGTTCCACGGCATGTTAAGGTATTTTAAAAGATCATAGATTATATATAATATACATTTTCAATCATTGATGGTTTAAGATAACTGCAAAAGTACATTGCCTATTTATTTATTAATTCAGTGTATTAAACATTGAGCACATTTTCAGTGGGCAATCTGGTTTTCACTGAAAGAGTTTTTCTAATGCAGCTGTTACAATTTCCATATAAAATATTGTTAGATTATCTCTTTAAAAACTTCTGACTGAGAAATTTCATTAGTCCCTTCATCGGCAACAATGTTTCATGCACCGATTTCTTGCTCTTCCGTGACAACAGGCTGAATCATCACCTCACTTTTTTTAAGTAATCACTTCAATATCTTAATAGATAGTACGGTTTCCCCAAAGAACAGAATTTGTTTTGCCTGATTTTGCACATTCATTATCTCCTCACGAATGCACGGTAAATCATTTTATAAATCATTCCCATCGATTGGCACGTCATCATTTCAGCACCACGAACAGCGATATTAATAAAACTTTCTTTTGTCCTTCCCATGCCCAATTATATTTTTAGTGAGGTACTTATACATTTTAACGTACGTTGATTCTTGTTGTAGTTTTTTGTGAAAATGTACTTCTTGCAGTAATTGACAGGGTGCTTTGACTGATTTTTTGATTATAAAGGAGAAAAAAAACAAAATAGAAATACATTTGAACCGTAAACTGTGTTGTAGTGTGCAATCGGCGATTACAACGTGGATTGTGTTGTTTCTCTCCAGCTCTCTCTGTCTCTGTCTCTCTCTCTCTCCCTCACTCTCTCGCTCTCTCGCTTCAATTTCTTGTATTATTTACTTAAAGTCTTACTTGTTACACTTCGCTAACAGCAAGTCTTTTGAACAGTGTAATTTAGGGACCTGTTGTGCAGTTTTCTGTTATGAACTCTTAGGGCCGCTGTTGACCAGAGTTTTGACGGATGGGAGCAGGGTTATAGCAGCTGAGTACCTCCCATATACGCCCGCATAACGAGGACGGGGTATTACGAGAACGACCAGGCATTCTCGATCCGCAGAATTTCAGATTAAAAATACGACGATTTAAGACTATTCGATGTACAGAGGACTGTAAAGCTACAAGACTGACGTCTGACTTTGGAACTCCTTTCACTCAGCTGGATGCATGTTCGCGTTGTGGAGCATCGTTGATAAAATCCTAGGGTAGGACAATGAAAGGGCCTGCGCTGTTGTGTTTTGCTCTCCTTTCCTTTGGCTCGGTAACTGGACAAGTCAGCTATACAATACCGGAGGAAATGACTAAAGGATCGTTAGTCGGTAATATAGCACAGGATTTGGGTTTACAAATCAAGCGTTTAATATCAGGTAAAGCTCGAATTTATACCCGAGACAGCGACCAGTACGTCGAGCTGAACAGAGAAAGAGGAGTCCTCCTCGTTAAAGAAAGGATCGACAGAGAGGCGCTGTGCAGACGGACTACACCGTGTGCTCTACATTTTCAGATCATTTTGGAGAATCCGATGGAATTTTATACGGTTACAGTGCAGATCACAGATATCAATGATAATGCACCAACCTTTGAAGAAGCTGATATTGAATTTAAAATTAGCGAGTCTGCGGTAATTGGTGCAAAATTTGTTCTGGAAAGGGCTGTGGATCTTGATGTTGGCACCAATGATCTTCAAAGGTACGAAATAAAACCAACTGACAATTTCGTTCTTAAAATGCATAATAATGCTGATGGAAATAAAAATGTTGAGATGGTACTGCAGAAACCTTTAGACAGAGAGAAACAAGAGCAGATATCCCTCGTGCTAACAGCTATAGATGGAGGAGAGCCACAGATGTCAGGAACAATGCAGATTCTCATTACAGTTTTAGACGCTAATGATAATGCTCCGGTTTTTACACAGCAAACATACAAAGCTACAGTCACTGAGAATTCACCTAAAGGAACAGTTGTTGCTACTGTTACAGCGTCAGACGCAGACCAAGGTTCGAACAGTAAAATAACATATTCAATCACAAACAAAGTGGATGACGTCAGGAAAGTCTTTAACATAAACAAGGAGAACGGCGAAGTGACTTTAATTGGGAATACTGACTTCGAGGATTCACGAGGTTTTCAGTTAAATTTACGTGCTAGTGATGTTGGAGGACTAACAGATTCCTGTAAACTGATTGTTGATGTTCTGGATTTAAATGACAACAAACCTGAAATCAACATAATGTCTAAGTCGACTGTGATTTCGGAGGATGCTAAACTCAATACAGTTGTTACAATGATAAACGTTGAAGACAGGGACACTGGAGAAAGAGGGAATGTTCAATGTTCAGTTAGTGATAGTGTACCTTTCATTTTGAAATCATCAACAAATCACTTCTATACCTTAGTAACAGACAGTGATTTAGACAGAGAGAGAGCCTCTGAGTATAACATCACTGTGACCTGCTCTGATGAGGGAGTGCCCTCCCTCTCCACCAGCGTCACTCTCACCTTACAGATCTCAGACGTTAATGATAACGCACCTGTCTTTGAGAGGAGCTCATATGAGGCCTACATTGTAGAAAACAACACACCGGGCCTCTCTATATTTACAGTCAAAGCCTCAGACGCTGACTGGAACCAGAATGCCCGTGTTTCTTACATACTGGAGTACTCCTCCGTTAACGGAGTGCCAGTCTCCTCGTATGTGTCCGTTAGTGCTGATAGTGGAGTCATCCATGCAGTGCGCTCTTTTGACTACGAGCAGATCAAAGATTTCCACTTCCGCGTGAAAGCGCAGGATGGAGGCTCTCCTCCACTCAGCAGCAACGTGACTGTGAAAATAATGATCCAAGACCAGAACGACAACCCCCCTCAGGTTCTGTACCCAGTCCAGACTGGTGGCTCTCTGGTGGCTGAAATGGTGCCTCGTTCAGCAGATGTGGGCTATCTGGTGACTAAAGTGGTGGCTGTTGATGTGGACTCTGGACAGAATGCCTGGCTCTCCTATAAACTGCAGAAAGCCACAGACAGGGCGCTGTTTGAAGTGGGCTTACAGAATGGAGAAATCAGAACTATCCGCCAAGTCACTGATAAAGATGCTGTCAAACAAAGACTGACTGTTATAGTGGAGGACAACGGGCAGCCTTCCCGTTCAGCTACAGTCGTTGTTAACGTGGCGGTGGCGGACAGCTTCCCTGAAGTGCTGTCGGAGTTCACTGATTTGACCCACGACAAGGAGTACAATGACAACCTGACTTTTTACTTAGTCTTGGCTCTGGCTGTAGTTTCCTTCCTCTTCATCACGTGTTTAGTGGTTATTATATCAGTCAAAATCTACAGGTGGAGACAGTCTCGCATCCTGTATCACTCCAACCTGCCTGTCATTCCATATTATCCACCACGTTACTCAGACACTTTGGGGACAGGAACTCTGCCACATGTGTACAATTACGAGGTGTGCAGGACGACTGACTCCAGAAAGAGTGACTGTAAGTTCGGCAGAGCTGGTAGTCAGAACGTGTTGATAATGGACCCCAGTTCTACAGGAACGATGCAGCGGATACAGAGTGAAAAGAGCATCCTGGATGAACCAGACTCTCCTCTTGAGGTTAGACTGCCCTTAAATGTTTTCTACATCATCATACAAATATCAGATTGCCTTCAAGCCTTATAGATCATATATAATACAATTAAAATAACGTTATCGTCCATATGATCTCAAATTTGTATTTCCAGTGGCTTATATTTCCACTTAAACAAACTGTTATTTATTAAGATTTGGAATTTTTTTCGTTTCATATTTTACATTTTAGGAATGACAAATACCGACCTCATGTTTATTACATGTTGACTTTGCATATTTCATGTAAGTGTTTTCCAGTTCAGTACTCACTTCTCTGTACATGTATATGTTCCGTTACTTTGGGAATTGTCAGTAATCTCTTATTGTGATTCAATCTAGCTTTTTTGTTGAGGAGATCAATATTTCATGTGCACTCATTTTATAGATTTTGTTTTAATTGTTGCAAATAAATGCCCCTCATCTGACAGGATTTCTTTCGTGGTGCCTGCCTCACTGACGTAGAGGCAAGCGCCACAAATCTGGCGTTGTCCATTTCAGAACGCTGGACAGCAACTTAAGTCCATCGCCATCTATTTACCCCGTTAGTGTTTCCCCATTGTGTCCTGAGTTTTGTTTCAATGTGATTCAGGACTGAACAAATGTTTTCTGGACATTATAACCGCTTTAGCCTACCAGGTGTTTCATTCAATGCTCTCAAATCTTCATAGTTTTAATTTTTTACATATATATATATATGTGTGTGTGTGTGTGTGTGTGTGTGTGTGTGTGTGTGTGTGTGAGAGAGAGAGAGAGAGAGAGAGAGAGAGAGAGAGAGAGAGAGAGAGAGAGAGAGAGAGAGAGAGAGAGAGACTGAGCAGCCCAAGGTTAAAGTTACTTTAAAAATGTCTCTAAACCAACCTTCCAGAGGCGTGAATATGATCCGTATTATTTGGTAATGGATTTCCGTGTGCGTTTTCAGTATAAATATTACCATTTGACTTGGTATTTTTGTGACTTATTTTAAAAAGAAAAAACCTTCATGTTGGCTGTCTGCAGTTTTCTAAGGTGAACTCTTAGGGCCGCTGTTGACTAAATTGTCAACAGCCGAGTAGGGTTATAACAGCAACTCCCTCGTAACGTCGGTATAGCGAAGAAAGAACAGAACGACAAAGGACGGCCTCGAGATATACACAGTATTTGGATGCAAAGGACATCGACCGTTTTAGTACATTTTCTCATGTGTGGATGATAAACGTGCGAAATTGAAGTTTGACGTTTAAAGCGTGATTTGTAGGATATTATCACAGTGAACATCCATTGGCAAAATCGCATAAAACAATGGCAAGGCAAGTACTCCTGTTTATCTCTCTTCTCGCCGTCGGCTCGGTGCTCGGACAAGTGAGCTATACAATACCAGAGGAAATGACTAAAGGATCGTTAGTTGGTAATATAGCACAAGACTTGGGTTTACAAATCAAACGGTTGACTTCAGGTAAGGCTCGGATTTATGCTCGAGACACCGATCAGTACGTCGAGCTGAACAGAGAAAGAGGAGTCCTCCTCGTTAAAGAAAGGATCGACAGAGAGGCGCTGTGCAAACAGACGACGCCGTGTGCTCTACATTTTCAGATCATTTTGGAGAATCCGATGGAATTTTATACGGTTACAGTGCAGATCACAGATATCAATGACAATGCACCTACTTTTAAAAAAACTAAAACCATTTTCAAAATTAGCGAAACGGCGCTCATCGGGGCAAAATTTGTTCTGGAAAGGGCTGTGGATCTGGATGTTGAAATGAATAGTGTTCAGTCATATGAGTTAAAACCAACTGACAATTTTGCTCTCAAACTGTACAGCAACTCTGATGGAAATAAAAATGTTGAGATGGTACTACAGAAACCTTTGGACAGAGAGAAACAAGAGCAGATATCCCTCGTGTTAACAGCTGTAGATGGAGGGGAGCCACAGATGTCAGGAACAATGCAGATTCTCATTACAGTTTTAGACGCTAATGATAATGCGCCGGTTTTTACACAGAAAACATACAAAGCTACAGTCACTGAGAATTCACTTAAAGGAACAGTTGTTGCTACTGTTACAGCGTCAGACGCAGATCAAGGTTCGAACAGTAAAATAACATATTCAATCACAAATGCAGCAGATGATGACACCAGAATATTTGAGATTAATGAGGAAAACGGGAATGTTGTATTAATTGGAATAATTGACTATGAAAAGTCAAGAAACTATCAAATAAATTTACTTGCTAGTGATGAGGGTGGACTCACGGATTCGTGCAAATTAATTGTCGATGTGCAAGATGTAAACGACAACAAACCTGAAATCAACATAATGTCGAAGTCAGCTGTGATATCAGAGGATGCTAATCCCAACACAGTAGTTACGATGATAAACATTGAAGACAAGGACTCGGGGGAAAACGGAAAAGTGCAGTGTTTTATGAGTGATAACGTACCTTTCGAATTAAGAGCATCTTCAAATAATTTCTATACCTTAGTAACAGACAGTGATTTAGACAGAGAGAAAGCCTCTGAGTATAACATAACTGTGACCTGCTCTGATGAGGGAGTGCCCTCCCTCTCCAGCAGCGTCACTCTCACCTTACAGGTCTCAGACGTTAATGACAACGCACCTGTCTTTGAGAGGAGCTCATATGAGGCCTACATTGTAGAAAACAATACGCCAGGTCTCTCTATATTCACAGTCAAAGCCACAGACGCTGACTGGAACCAAAACGCCCGTGTTTCTTACATACTGGAGGACTCCTCCGTTAACGGAGTGCCAGTCTCCTCATATGTGTCCGTTAGTGCAGATAGTGGAGTCATCCATGCAGTGCGCTCTTTTGACTACGAGCAGATCAAAGATTTCCACTTCCGCGTAAAAGCGCAGGATGGAGGCTCTCCTCCACTCAGCAGCAACGTGACTGTGAAAATAATGATCCAAGACCAGAACGACAACCCCCCTCAGGTTCTGTACCCAGTCCAGACTGGTGGCTCTCTGGTGGCTGAAATGGTGCCTCGTTCAGCAGATGTGGGCTATCTGGTGACGAAAGTGGTGGCTGTTGATGTGGACTCTGGACAGAACGCCTGGCTCTCCTATAAACTGCAGAAAGCCACAGACAGGGCGCTGTTTGAAGTGGGCTTACAGAATGGAGAAATCAGAACTATCCGCCAAGTCACTGATAAAGATGCTGTCAAACAGAGACTGACTGTTATAGTGGAGGACAACGGACAGCCTTCTCGTTCAGCTACAGTTGTTGTTAACGTGGCGGTGGCGGACAGCTTCCCTGAAGTGCTGTCGGAGTTCACTGAGTTGACCCACGACAAGGAGTACAATGACAACCTGACTTTTTACTTAGTCTTGGCTCTGGCTGTAGTTTCCTTCCTCTTCATCACGTGTTTAGTGGTTATTATATCAGTCAAAATCTACAGGTGGAGACAGTCTCGCATCCTGTATCACTCCAACCTGCCTGTCATTCCATATTATCCACCACGTTACTCAGACACTTTGGGGACAGGGACTCTGCCCCATGTGTACAATTACGAGGTGTGCAGGACGACTGACTCCAGAAAGAGTGACTGTAAGTTCGGCAGAGCTGGTAGTCAGAACGTGCTGATAATGGACCCCAGTTCTACAGGAACGATGCAGCGGATACAGAGTGAAAAGAGCATCCTGGATGAACCAGACTCTCCTCTTGAGGTTAGTCCTTCTGTTGTAAAAAATAAAATAACATAAAAATGTGTTTTTTAAGCTTTACAATTAAAATTAAAATAATATAAAATGTTAGTTAAAATTTGCGCATCAACGTTCAATACTGTCGTAGTGATCATTTTCAGCACCACAGACAGCGGAAATAAGAACCTTTCTGCCTGAACCCCAAACATGCAGAATTTATTTCATTTCTTTATGATTTCCTTCCCTAGGGAACAATGGCGCACTAGTATGTACTTATATATGTACTTATTTTAAGTGTTTATGTTTTTGATTTTTTTTCTCTCTTTCTTTTTTCTTTTATTTCTCTTTTTTGGTCGTGGTGGTGCCGTTCTGACTACTATCCGACATCTAAAAAAAACAAATAGCTTGAAGACCAGAGGGTTTTTTATTTGTTTTTAAAATTTAAACGTAGTCACTGCGTTTTCCCTTCTGTTTTTCTTTTTTAAACAATTTCAGTATTTTTTTTTAATTGTCTTCGACGAGTTGGGTTTAGCAGTACTATTTTTTGTCTGTTTGCTTGTTTTTCAAACCTCAAATATTTGTTTAACCTTGCACTGATTTTCTTGTCATAAATCAGTGTAGTGTAGTGTCATGTTTTGTACTCCTAGAGACGCTGTTGGCTAGTCTGTGGTAGTTTTGCTGCTGATTACAGCAGCACCTCCCAGATAATTTAGATCGGAGGAAGTATTGTCGACACAGTAGACATTTCAGGTTTCCGAGAATAATATAGCCTACACGGACATTTTAGCAGTCGGTTTTTTTGATCGACCTTTATTGTGTGGCTTTTTCATTTTTACTCCAGCTGTGTGTGGAATTTAGCTCTTTTTCTCGACTGCTTTGATTCGTCATGATATTACAAAGCCGTTGGACCGAAACAATGAAATGGCAAGTGATACTGTTTTTCTCAATGCTCTCTCTCTGTTATGTGTTCGGGCAGGTAAGCTATTCTGTTCCAGAAGAAATGTCAAAAGGCTCGTTAGTCGGTAAGATAGCACAAGATTTAGGTTTGGACCTAAAACGGTTGAAAACGGGAAAAGCTCGCTTGCATGTTGGAAACAGCGCTGAATACATTGAGCTGAATAAAGAAAGGGGGGTGCTTCTTATCAAGGAGAGAATCGACAGGGAGGCTTTATGCAAACAAACGACTCCCTGTGCTTTACACTTTCAAATGATTTTGGCAAATCCTATCGAGTTCTACCGTGTTACTGTAGAAATAACAGATATAAACGACAACGCCCCTATATTCAAAATGAAAGATATGGTATTTGAAATAAGCGAGTCGGCTGTAAAGGGGTCAAAATTTATATTAGAGAAAGCACTGGATTCTGACGTTGGAATAAATGGGCTTAAAAGCTACTCCCTTAACCCAACAGATAATTTTGCTTTGAAACTCAACGACAACACTGATGGGGGGAAAGAAGTAGAGATGGTTTTGGAAAAACCTCTTGATCGAGAGAAAGAGGAGCAACTGACTCTTACACTAATGGCCGTCGACGGAGGTGAACCTCAGCTCTCGGGGACAGTGCAAATTCATGTAACTATATTAGACGCCAATGACAACGCACCTGTTTTTACACAGTCAACGTACAAAAGTAGTTTAATGGAAAATTCTCCAAGAGGAACTCAACTGATTACTGTTACAGCCACCGATAAAGATGAAGGAACAAATGGTTTCGTAACATATTCGATATCAAATAACATTGATGGAATTTTTGATTTATTTGAAATACATGAGACAAGCGGGGAAGTGCGGTTGATCGGAAATGTAGATTATGAAACATCGAAACATTATCAGCTCAATATTAAAGCCAAAGACCAGGGTGGACTCAGTGACTCGTGTAAAATTATTTTTGATATTACTGATGTAAATGATAATAGCCCAATAATAGATTTAATGTCGACTACTCAATCGGTTCCAGAAGATTCCACCTTAAAAACCGTTGTTGCAGTTATGAACGTGCATGATGCTGATTCAGACGATAATGGAGTAGTTAAATGTTTCCTAAATGACAATGTACCTTTTAATATTGAGAGTACATCAAATAGCTTCTACAGCATTATAACAGACAGTGATTTAGACAGAGAGAGAGCATCCGAATATAACATCACTGTGACCTGCTCTGATGAGGGAGTGCCCTCCCTCTCCAGCAGTGTCACTCTCACCTTACACATCTCAGACGTTAATGATAACGCACCTGTCTTTGAGAGGAGCTCATATGAGGCCTACATTGTAGAAAACAACACACCAGGTCTCTCTATATTCACAGTCAAAGCCACAGACGCTGACTGGAACCAGAATGCCCATGTTTCTTACATACTTGAGGACTCCTCCGTTAACGGAGTGCCAGTCTCCTCGTATGTGTCCGTTAGTGCTGATAGTGGAGTCATCCATGCAGTGCGCTCTTTTGACTACGAGCAGATCAAAGATTTCCACTTCCGCGTAAAAGTGCAGGATGGAGGTTCTCCTCCACTCAGCAGCAACGTGACTGTGAAAATAATGATCCAGGACCAGAACGACAACCCTCCTCAGGTTCTGTACCCAGTCCAGACTGGTGGCTCTCTGGTGGCTGAAATGGTGCCTCGTTCAGCAGATGTGGGCTATCTGGTGACGAAAGTGGTGGCTGTTGATGTGGACTCTGGACAGAATGCCTGGCTCTCATATAAACTGCAGAAAGCCACAGACAGGGCGCTGTTTGAAGTGGGCTTACAGAATGGAGAAATCAGAACTATCCGCCAAGTCACTGATAAAGATGCTGTCAAGCAAAGACTGACTGTTATAGTGCAGGACAACGGGCAGCCCTCTCGTTCAGCTACAGTCGTTGTTAACGTGGCGGTGGCGGACAGCTTCCCTGAAGTGCTGTCGGAGTTCACTGAGTTGACCCACGACAAGGAGTACAATGACAACCTGACCTTTTACTTAGTCTTGGCTCTGGCTGTAGTTTCCTTCCTCTTCATCACGTGTTTAGTGGTTATTATATCAGTCAAAATCTACAGGTGGAGACAGTCTCGCATCCTGTATCACTCCAACCTGCCTGTCATTCCATATTATCCACCACGTTACTCAGACACTTTGGGGACGGGGACTCTTCCACATGTGTACAATTACGAGGTGTGCAGGACGACTGACTCCAGAAAGAGTGACTGTAAGTTCGGCAGAGCTGGTAGTCAGAACGTGCTGATAATGGACCCCAGTTCTACAGGAACGATGCAGCGGATACAGAGTGAAAAGAGCATCCTGGATGAACCAGACTCTCCTCTTGAGGTCAGTTAACTGCTGTTGTGAACGGCTTTCATGCGGTGATATTATTGTAATACATGCAACTTTCCTGCTTATAGGATGGAGATAACTACAGCACATTTGAAATTGTACATCACTATTTCAAAATATCTTGTTTCAATTATAATCTGATCGTTTATTACTGATTTCAGCACCACGGATAGAGACAGCATTTGCCCCTCCTCGCATTTCTCTTTAAAATAGATTTAATACTTGCTCCATCTTTTGTTCCTTTGTTTGTTGCATATATCAAAAGATGTCTTCTATATATTTGTTTGACTTTTTTAGTTCGTCAGTGCAGGCCTCTAGATATTTAGCTTCTAAGGTGTTTTTTCATAACATTTTTATGAAATATATTAAGTTAAATAATTTTATTGTTCTTGTAGTTCTGCTCTATGGACTCAATGGGCCGCTGTTGGTCAACGTGTTGCAATCCTGTAGACAGGATTTGAAGCAGATCCTCCCATTTCATGTCCGTATTTTAGAGAAAGGAAGGGAGACAAAGCACTGTTCACTGACCGGGAATCTTTTAGATGGATACAGTGATCTGATGGACTATTATTTCACTGTTTGGGAGTGATATATGTTCCTTTATCTATATCTTTTCGTGTGGAAACATTATTTTTTTTGTCGTGATTCCCTTTGCAAAAGATGTTCTGTGGTGCAGCGTATATTTTGAACAGAACAATGAGACGGCAAGTACTGTTTTTTATCTCGATCTTCTATGTAGGTTATGTTGTCGGTCAAGTGAGCTACTCTATTCCGGAGGAAATGCCAAAGGGGTCTGTTGTCGGAAATATAGCTCGAGATTTGGGCATAGATGTGAGGAGACTAAAGTCAGGTAAATCTCGTATATTTACGAGCGACAGCGCAGAATACATCGAGCTGAGTAGGGAGAGAGGAGTCCTCCTCCTCAAAGAGAGAATCGACAGAGAGTCACTCTGCAGACAGACGACGCCTTGTGCTTTGCATTTGCAGATTATTCTAGAAAACCCAATGGAGCTTTTTCGAATAACGGTCGAAATCACTGATATAAACGATAACAGTCCAAGTTTTAAAAACGATGAGAAACGTTTTGAAATAAGCGAATCCGCAGTTACAGGATCGAAATTCGTGTTAGAAAGAGCGGTCGATGCAGATATTGGAATAAATGGCCTGAAAAATTATAGCCTGAGACCTACGGATAACTTTGTTCTGAAAATCGAAAATCAGGCTGATGGACAGAAAAAGGTTGAAATGGTTTTACAAAAGCCGCTAGATCGAGAAAAGGAGGAACAAATATCATTGTTGTTAAACGCCGTAGACGGAGGGGATCCTCAAATGTCGGGTACGGTGAAGATTTATGTGACCGTACTCGATGCAAATGACAACGCTCCGGTTTTCACGAAGTCGGTTTACAAGGCGACTATAGCCGAAAACTCTCAGAAAGGAACAACAGTGACAACAGTGAGCGCTTCTGATGCAGATAAAGGGACAAATGGGGATGTTTCTTATTTAGTATCAGCTACAATGGATAGTGTATCTGACATATTTACAGTAAATCAAAATGGTGAAGTAATATTAGTTGGTGAAGTTGACTTTGAAAAAGCCAAGTATTACCAAATTGATATTGAGGCCAAAGACAGTGGTGGTCTTTCTGATTCCAGTAAGGTTATAGTTGACGTTATTGACATTAATGATAATGAGCCTGTAATCAGTATACTTTCGAAATCAGATTCTATTCCTGAAAACTCTCCCCATAATACAGTTATACTTATGTTCAGTGTCTATGACTCAGATTCAAGTAATAATGGTCAGGTAAACTGCAGATTAAATAGTAACATACCATTTACTATTACAGCTGCCTCAAATGATTTCTACAGTTTAGTAACAGACAGTGATTTAGACAGAGAGAGAGCCTCTGAGTACAAGATCACTTTGACCTGCTCTGATGAGGGAGTGCCGTCCCTCTCCAGCAGCGTTACTCTAACCTTACACATCTCAGACGTTAATGATAACGTGCCTGTCTTTCAGAGGAGCTCATATGAGGCCTACATTGTAGAAAACAATACGCCAGGTCTCTTGATATTCACAGTGAAAGCCACAGACGCTGACTGGAACCAGAATGCCCGTGTTTCTTACATACTGGAGGACTCCTCCGTTAACGGAGTGCCAGTCTCCTCATACGTGTCCGTTAGTGCAGATAGTGGAGTCATCCATGCAGTGCGCTCTTTTGACTACGAGCAGATCAAAGATTTCCACTTCCGCGTGAAAGCGCAGGATGGAGGCTCTCCTCTACTCAGCAGCAACGTGACTGTGAAAATAATGATCCAGGACCAGAACGACAACCCCCCTCAGGTTCTGTACCCAGTCCAGACTGGTGGCTCTCTGGTGGCTGAAATGGTGCCTCGTTCAGCAGATGTGGGCTATCTGGTGACTAAAGTGGTGGCTGTTGATGTGGACTCTGGACAGAATGCCTGGCTCTGCTATAAACTGCAGAAAGCCACAGACAGGGCGCTGTTTGAAGTGGGCTTACAGAATGGAGAAATCAGAACTATCCGCCAAGTCACTGATAAAGATGCTGTCAAGCAGAGACTGACTGTTATAGTGGAGGACAACGGGCAGCCCTCTCGTTCAGCTACAGTTGTTGTTAACGTGGCGGTGGCGGACAGCTTCCCTGAAGTGCTGTCGGAGTTCACTGAGTTGACCCACGACAAGGAGTACAATGACAACCTGACTTTTTACTTAGTCTTGGCTCTGGCTGTAGTTTCCTTCCTCTTCATCACGTGTTTAGTGGTTATTATATCAGTCAAAATCTACAGGTGGAGACAGTCTCGCATCCTGTATCACTCCAGCCTGCCTGTCATTCCATATTATCCACCACGTTACTCAGACACTTTGGGCACAGGGACTCTGCCACATGTGTACAATTACGAGGTGTGCAGGACGACTGACTCCAGAAAGAGTGACTGTAAGTTTGGCAGAGCTGGTAGTCAGAACGTGCTGATAATGGACCCCAGTTCTACAGGAACGATGCAGCGGATACAGAGTGAAAAGAGCATCTTGGATGAACCAGACTCTCCTCTTGAGGTTAGCCTCATGAAATTACAAATTATTTTAAATGCCTGTTATTTTTGCATGCATGGTATTCTGGAGGTTATCAGAGAGCTAGCAATGCACATTTTATTTCTTCCATGACAATTCACTGTTCATTAAACCACTTCTGCACTTTAACAGAATCAGCCTTTCATCCCATAATCTATATGTGTTCCCCCTCTTTTATCTAAACCTAACAAAGTCATCTTAGCCCTAATTTAGTTTTAGTTTAAGTATATGAAAAGAGTCTCCATAATCAGCATCCTGTTCCAGCACTTTTTTCAAGAAAACAGGATTAATTATTGACAATTATTCAATAATATGTTAACCTTTTAAGTATTTGGAACATTGTAATTGCAGATTGTGTTTCACTGAAATGTCTACCAGCACTGTTTACATTGCAGTAGAGTGCAACTTTCGGCTCTGAAAGCAACTTTTTAACAACAAGCTTTAGTTAACTATTGAAACAAAACTTAAAACACTATGATCAAAAAATTAAAGCAGGCAGCTTGGAATACGAGAAGCAACAAAATGTCTACTGGTGGTCTTCCCTTTGATACTTTTTAGACTTAAACTATTTATTACAAGCTAATCATCACCTATTCTCCCACTTGGTTTTAATTTTTCTTCCAGAAAAGTTATACTTTTCAAGTTGTGTTAAGCAAATAATTACTTTCATCTGAGATCTGTGCAATGCAGTTTTGAAAATTACTACTTATTCTTATTGTTTACTAAAGGAGAAGATTAACTTCATCAAATAATTACCAGTTTATGTCTTGTGCTTCTTCTAAAGCTGTCTCCACCCTGGTGTGTTTTAGCAGTAACTGCATACACATTCATTGATCAGGAAAGCCCTTGAAGTAGAATGATTACTTGCAAAAAATGGCCTTTTTTTCCTTTGTAATCACTACATTTTTTCCATTATCTGTATTTATCATTTTGGAGCCTTACTTCATGGTTAAAGTAATTTTGTATTTGACAGCTTTATCACAAATCACTATCTATACAGGAAGATTTTAAAAGGTGCAAGTGTAACAGGTAACGAAATACACCCTATCACTTTTGTAATCTTTTTTATAAAGTTCTCTTTACTTCAGATATATATTGTTACTAGATCTTTACCTTATTTTACTGTTCCTTAGAATCTCATGTCATATTACAAGGGAAAGTGTCTTGTGTCATTAAAGATGACTTGACATTGTACAATAATCAAAATATACCCTTCAGAATAAGATGTCAAGGCAGGTGGGGAGGTTGTCCTCTGTATTATTTTGTGTTTGAGTTATAAGTACCCTAGACAAATATTTTATTATTGTGTAATGAATTAAACTCCTATTTATTTTTTTCACTTTGGACCTGCTAGCTGATGTTGTAATTTTCTGCAGTGCACATGTTTGGACTCTCAGGGCCGCTGTTGACTAGTGTAGAGAATTTCCCTTCATTTGATACGTTAAACACAGAAAGAGACGCACATGCAGCACACAGGCGTAGCTGATAAACACTGGAGATATCCTCGCTGTGGTTTATTTATTTCGAGTTCAAGAAACGCGGACAGAATCAGTTTTCCTCTGGAGTACTATCTATTCGGGAAAACCAGGCGCTTTTGAGTACAGCAGGCTTTTTTCTCCAGCTTTTAACGAAGAGAAAATGTCGGGCAGAACAATGAGATGGCAAGTACTGTTGTTTGTGTCGGTCTTTTCCCTCGGCACAGTTTTCGGGCAGGTCGCTTACTCGATTCCTGAGGAAATGTCAAAAGGCTCTGTAGTTGGTAATATAGCGCAGGATTTAGGTATAAATGTAAAGAGACTAAAATCGGGTAAGGCGCGTATATATACAGAAGACAATGGAAAATACGTCGAGCTGAATAAAGACAGAGGCGTCCTGCTTGTTAGAGAAAGAATTGACAGAGAGACGCTCTGCGGGCAGACGACAC